TGGTATGTCATCCCGAACCAAACCGAATTTTCGGTATGGGATTCGGTATTGCATCTCCATTTTTTCCGTATTCCCATACCGAATCGAAATAAATATTATATGTATATATTATTTTTTAATTATAAGAGAATTATTTCAACCGTTCATTGTTTTAGATTTAATCTGTGCCGTTCATTTGTTTTTAGGTTAGATCCCCCATTTCAATTTTCACTTCCGTTCCATACTTCCATCAAGAGCTTGAAGTTGAAATGCAGCTGCTGTGCCACTGCCACCAACCTTTCTTCACCAGAATCACCACCCAGCTTGCCTTCCTTCGAATCGTCTCTGACTCTCCAGCGGCCCAGCCTTCCTTCACAAATCAACACCCAGCCACCCCCACGCCAAAGCATCAAGGATAGAACTCTCCAACCTTCCTTCACGATTCCTTCATAAATCGTCTCCGACACTTGCGAGTTGCGATCTCTCTCTCTCTCGGGCAATTTTCCCTCACAGACAGAACTCTCAATCTAGCACTGAGTCCGAGTCTCACTCTCACCCAAATTAGGTAATTAATTTATGCCGTTGGCAATTTTTTTTGTGTGTGTTAATAACTTATACATTTCTTCCATCTTCATCTGTAACTCTGTTTGTTAGCAGTCATTTATTCCATCTTCATCTTTATCTGTAACTCCATCTTTATCTGTAATTCTTTTTTGAATGCTCAGATTTTTGAACCATGGCCAGATGCCATGTTTGCCTTTCTTTCTTCTTTCGTCAAAGCCTTGAGTTTTTCCACTATAATATTCACGATCATGTATCATTGCGCTTGCATTTGCTTTCTAGATTTTGCCCTACACAATTTTTTATTACTTTGGCATCATAGTGTAAGCGACTCCTGTTGAAATCTCTATGATTTACACATAGAAAAGATGTCCCTGTTTCTAGATTGTTTGGTAGACCGATAGTTTGATTAGATGACTTGTATGCTGGAGCTATTTATGTTTACCCTAGAAAGCAAAGTACTCGTAAAAAATATATAGATGTGTGTGTGTTTTCTATATGGCACTAAGCAGGGTTCTTAGTTTATTTATTGATAAGCAACTAGTTTAATTTCAAATTTCATGTATCTATTTCCACCTGTTCAAACTTCAAATTAGTCACACGTTGCGTCAGGTAATATTTTTGTTTTGGCTTTGAGAATCTTAGATACATGGTCTTGCCTTAATGTTTGATAGCAAAGTATGAAACTATGTCAAATTGGCAGATTGGGCAGATGCCATGAAAGTATTGAATAGGCAGATTTCTTTTGATTTCTGTTATATATTTTGAGTTATTTTTCTCACAACCATATATTTTCTATGTTGAATGCTCAGATTTTTGAACCATTTATTTTATTTATTTATTGGAATTTGGATATATGCTGAACTGTGGTTGTGATATATTAATGTGCATTGTTATTTTATTTGTTAGGATGGACGGGTCTAGTAGCCAATCTAGTACACCTATGGTCTCGGTATTAGGAAAACAAAAACAAACCCAACCTAGTGGTACCCTTCAACTAGGCACTCCCTCACCTCAAGATTATTTGCATAATGATTATTATGAAGATTGTTGGGATGATGATCCGGATATGGAGGAGGATATTGCATTAGAACAAATAGAAGAAGATGAGGAAGAGGGGGAAGAAGGGGAAGAGGAAGTAGAAGAAGAAGAAGAAGTAGTGAGACAATGAGAGGGTCCTCCTCGGAAAAAGGGCAATAGGAGAAAGGGTCCAAGTCCGGCGTGGAATGATGCTAAGAGGGTAACGATCACCGATAATAATGGGGAGAAATCTTTCATGGCTGAATGCAAGCATTGCAAACTCTTAGTACCGGCACACCCTATAATTCATGGGACGATGGGAATTCTTAAGCATTTGAGGAAATGCCCGGGTTCTAGTCTCTTTGAGAATGTGGATCTGAAGCAACCTACATTGACACAAGCGAGGATGGGAGGTCCGGTTGTCACTCACACTTTCAATCAAAAAAGACTTGATAGGAGATGTGTGAGGTGGATTATAATAGCGGAGATGCCTTTTAGAGTGGTTGATCAAGAAGACTTTCGAGATTTTATTCGTGATTTGAATCCAAAATACAAACTTCCTAATAGGCATAAGGTGGCGGCGGCGGTTTTAGAGTTGTATGTTGAAGAGAAGGTTAAAATAAAAAGTGTGAGTAAGGGGTTGAGAGTGAGTATTACAACCGACACTTGGACCTCAATTCAAATGATAAACTACATGGTCATCACAGCCCATTTTTTGGACACTAATTGGGGGTTGCATAAGAGGATCCTAAACTTTGTCCAAGTTACTTCTCATAAGGGTGATGATATTGGAAGATGTCTAGAGGTTTGCTTGAATGATTGGGGCATTGACAAGGTGTTTAGCATTACCGTTGACAATGCTAGTGCAAATGACACCGCCATTGCATACATGAAAAGAATACTCAAGTCAAATGGTACTCTTTTACTTGACGGGGCTCACTTGCACATGAGGTGCGCTTGTCACATCCTCAATTTGATAGTTAAGGATGGAATGATGGAGCTTAGTTGTGAAATTGATGCCATAAGAAATGGTGTGAAGTTTATACACTCATCCCCGGCAAGGTTGGAGTCTTTTAGGGAATATTGTGTCTTGTTGAGATTTGATAGGATGTCAAGTATCCCTTTTGATGTTGTCACAAGGTGGAATGCCACATATGAGATGCTTAATAGTGCTTTCAAGTTTAAAGAAGTGTTCTCTAAGATGGCCTTTGAGTGTGACTCTTTTATTGCTTACTTTAAAGAGAAGGTCTCGAAAGAGGTTGATGGGGTGACAACAAAGACCAAGCGGGTGGGTCCTCCGGAGGTGGATGATTGGGAAAGGTCGATGAGTTTTGCTCACTTTCTTAAAAAGTTTTATGATGCCACCTTGACATTGAGTGCAATCCTTACTCCAACGTCACACTTAATACTTAGGACAGTGATTGCCTTGCAAGTGGAGATACAAGAACAAATTTTAAACGCCTCTAATGCCACTTTGCAAAGTGTGGCTACCTCAATGAAGCTCAAGTTTGACAAATATTGGGGTCACATTGAAAAGGTGAATCCTATTCTCTTTGTAGCCCAAGTACTCGACTCTAGGTACAAATTTGATATGTTGGAGACAATTCTAGAAGAGCTCGGCTATGGATGGGACAAAATAAGAGAGGAGAAAGTAAGGGTTAAAGGCTACGTAACCGAGTTGTATAATGCATACAAGGAGGGAGTGGTCCTTAGTAGTAGTAGTACTAGTAGTACTAGTAGTAGTGCTACCTCAAATGTGGAGCAAAGATCAAGTGTTGTACTAGATGATGTGGGGGGTGTGATTGTAGATATTGATGTTGCTTCAAGGATGACAAAGAAGATCCAACGAAAGAGAGCGGAGGCACAATAAAATGAGATAGCCAATGTAGTGGATATGTACTTCAATGATCCACATCAAAGCCTAACATATGAGGGTTTCAATCTTTTGGATTGGTGGAAAGGAAATTGTGCTCAATATCCAACTCCTAGTAAAGTTGCTAAGGATGTTTTGGCCCTTCCTAGTAACACCGTTGCTAGTGAGAATGCCTTTAGTCTTGGTGGGAGAGTTGTTGATCCTTTTAGAACTTCCTTAACACCTAAAACGGTTGAGGCTTTAGTGTGTACTAGTGATTGGCTTAGAGGAAAAGGATTTTGTTTCTATAAGGAGCCTACACTTGACGAATTCCATTTCTACAAGGAGCTTGAACGCTTAGAAAGAAGTAAGTAAACAATTTAATTTCCTCTTTTATTTTCTTAGTATTTATTATCTATTAGACTATAATTCAATGTAAATGATTTGTGGTTTATTGTTTTAGGCACGGCTAATTTGGGAGGTGAGGAGAATACAACACAAGAAAATGAAATGCCACCTCCACCTCCTCAACCACTCCAAGTTGAAGTTCAACAACGTCAAAATCAATCACTACCTCCACGACCACCCATTGCAAGGGGAAGGGCTCAACCATCAACATCAAGGGGAAGAGTACAAGTACCAACAAGAATGGAGCAACCACAAGCATCAACAAGATCAAGAGGACGAAGGGGCTGAAGATGCCAACAATATTTATAAACTTGAAGCTTTGCTTTTTAGCTTTTGGTTTGTAACTTAATTATTAAAACTTTGGCTCATAACTAATATTTTTGATTTTGGGTTTGTTACTTTATTTATTTTAAAACCTTGGCTTGTAACTATTATTTTTGCTTTTGAGTTTGTTACTTTATTTATTTTAAAACCTTGGCTTGTAACTATTATTTTTGCTTTTGGGTTTGGTACCTAATTTATTTTTATTGCATGCATGATGCATGTGTAGTGGGCAGATTGAAACTTTGTTATTATTGAAACTTTGTGCACAAATGGGTAGTGGGTAGAGTGAAACTTAATTTATGAAATTATATCAAATTTGTGCAGTGGGCAGTGGGCAAATTAGTAGAAATAACAAATTGGCAGTTTGGGCCTAAAAGCATAATATGTCAAATTTTTGCCCAAAAACATAATATGTCAAATTTTTGTCCAAAAGCCCAAAAGCATTTCGGGATTCCCGATTTGTCCCGAAATCCCGAAAATTGGGATTCCCGAAAATTTGGTTTGGGATTGGTATTGAATTTGGGATTCCCAAAAATTTCGGTTTGGGAATCGGGACAAGGGTTTCGGTATGGGATCCCTTACCGAACCACCCCTAGTAATTCAAATCAAGATTTATCTGGTACCCTATATAAATATGAAAATAACATCTATTTACATGAAACTAAATTTAGGAATTGAAGGTACCAAATTATAAGTTTTTTTTTTCCATGCCAAATTTCTAAATTTATATGTCCTCCTCTAAACATAAGGCTGGCTTTGGATTGCTTAATTGAAAAAAAAAAAAAAAGGTTGGAACCATAAATTGTGTTTGGTTAGAAAAAAGAGTTTTTTTTTTTTTTTTTTTTTTCCCTTCAATTGTGGATCAAAAACAATAGAAAGCAAAAGCAGGTTAGACTCTAAAAGAGCACTTTTTTTCATAGAAGAGCGTAAAAATTGTCAATTAATGAAACATTTATGCTGACAATACTATCCTTTTCTCTTATGCTTCGTTCAATTTCCACCTTTCCCTATTTCTCTTGCGCTCTCTCCTCTCCCTCTCATCTGGTTCGGGCATAGACCCATCTATCCTCTTCATCTCCTCCGGTTCAAGCACTCTTCACCAACAACAGGTGAGTTTTCTTTCGTTTCAATTTCTAATTTGCTTATTTTGACAATTTATTGTTGGAATATTGAAATATTGAACTGATTCAACTATAAGTCATTTTCTTCATTTTTCTGTAATTGATTTTTGTTCCGAAATGATTGAAATTTACTGATTAATTTGGTTAAATTCTATTTTAATTAATTTTTGCGACTTGAGGTGGATTAATTTCTTTGGTTAATTTGGTTAGAATCGTTTTCTCCCGTATAATTAGTTGATTAGTTGTAATTTAGTTCGGTGATTAGTTTTTGGATGATACTGGAAGATTTGATTGCTGTTAAATTAAATTTACACAGACATGGATACTCTCTTTCACGTGGTATCAGCCAAAACATGTCTGCAACATAAATTTACACCAGCATGTGGATAGTGAGCTTTTCAAAAGTAGTTTTTTTATTTGGACCAAAAGATAAAAAAATAGTATGAGTCGCATGAAATGGAAGATTGCAGAATCATAGTAAGCATATGATTTTGAGCAGGCAATGAACATCTCAGAGCCTTATCTCTGGCTCATAATTACAATTATGCTATGTAAGTCTTGATGATGTTGTGGTTTTTTTTTCCTTTATTGCGTGACTTGTTGTGGTCTCCATTCTAGATCTATACACATCATATAGCTTCTGATGTTGTTGTGGTCTCAATTGAACTTTGTGTCTTCTTTTGCTCTATCAATAAAATTCAAAGTTTTCAAGCCCTTTTCATTAGTTTTCCTTTAATATTATATATATAAGGATGGCAAAAAAGGTGGGAACTTCAGCAAGAGCTCCACATGGTACATGCAATGATCATAATATATCCGTATTCAGTGAGTTGTGCATCAAGGATGTTGAGGTCGGACGTTGTCTTGGCCCTCACTTTAACAAAAAGAAAAGGCAGTGATTCAAATCAAGATTTATCTGGTACCCCATCTAAAAATCACAAAAAGAAAATAAAAATGAAAAGTAGCAAGTAACAACGCATATTGTATCAGACTACTTGTCTTCTTGTAGTTGGATCTCCAAGTTTTTGGAATGCTCCAAATTCCAGTTGAGCATCTAAATCTGGATCAATACCAGCAAAAACATCTCGAAACAAGGTTCTAGCTCCATGCCAAATGGATTTATTTTTTGTCCCATAATCCCCCACTACTATATATATCGTGAAACATGACATCTGTTTGTATTTTTTTTTTTAAGCATAACATAATATAGCATATTTGTATTTTTTTTATAATATAAGATATTCTTCCTTTAAGCATCCTCAACTCTAATTTATAGATTTCCTTTCATCTATTTCTTCTACTTCATCGAAAGATATATCTTTCAATACAATAGTTATATGACAAGTGGATCTTACCTTTATCTAGTGTACTACCACCAGAAAGTATGGAGGAATCCACGGAAGATGTTTGTTTACAATCTAAAACTGTTGGACCAAATGATGAGGAGGAGAATGAGACTATTCAATACATAAGAAAAGATGATAAGAAGGGAAAAAAAAGGAGTAGCTGACTAGGGCGAATTGAGAAGAAATAAGTCTGATAATAAAGGAAAAAAGTTTGGTCGAGATGACATGTCATATATGACAACTACAAATACATAAAAACAAATATAGATGTGTACTTGATGTCATAACTGCTAATTATATTATATACTTACCTGCTTAACTTTCTGTTTTCAGGAATCAATAACAAATTTTAATGTCTTTTCACAAGACGAATGAGGCAAACAATATGAAAATTGAGCAAGACTTTCTTTTTGTAGATTTTTCGCAAATGGAAAATTGGAGGTGCGGAGAATGCACATGATATTTTGGCATTGTGCAACATGAGGAAAAAATTGGAAGGATTTTTTTGTTTTGTTTTTGTGGCAAATTTTGTGCACTCTAGATATTTGAAGTGGAGGTTGCACCATTTTCTTTTTGAATTGTACTATCTTAAGTTAAAATAACTTGTAGTTGTCTTCATATATTATTAGAAAAATGGAGACAATACTCTTATTGATTATTAATTCATCTTCTTTATGTTATACTACAAAATGACGTACACACATAGCATAAGAATAAAACCTAACAATCTGCTTGGATGAAAATAATTTATATTACTAAAGAATTTTAAAATGATGGAAATTGAAATGACAAAATTTTATTTTCTAGAACTTGTGAATTTGCTTGTTTGATTAACCTAAAAGAACAATAGAATTGAATACAGAATTTGTTATTTTTGAACTCTCATTTATAGCAATATGAAAATAACACCTATTTACATGAAACTAAATTTAGGAACTGAAGGTACCAGATTCTAAGTTTTTTTTTTCCATGCCAAAATTCTAAATTTATATGTCCTCAAAACATAAGGCTAGCTTGGGATTGCTTAATTTTTTTTTTTAAAAAAAAAGTTGGAACCATAAATTGTGTTTGGTTAGAAAAAAGTGTTTTTTTTTTCTTCAATTGTGGATCAAAAACAATAGAAAGCAAAAGCAGGTTAGACTCTAAAAGACGTGTAGTTGCGATGATGGCCTCCACGTGTTTTCTACTTTGTCAGAGATCTTTTGACAAAGTTGAACGCGTTTTCTGAAAAGCCGAGAGATCATCGCCGAACTTTACGCAGGAAAATCCGGCTCTTTGAATCGGTGGTCGCGGCGCCTTGGCTTTTTATAGAGGTATCGATCACCACCAACATACACACTCTGAAGATTGCCCATTCTTGAAAATCAACTCCGGCCCTTTGAGATTTAACTCCATCCAACCCTTCTCTCTGAACACCTTTGAAAAATGACTAACCCATCGAACCTTTGCTTAGATTTGAGTCTCAGCAGCGATCCGGTTGTGCCCCGTCAAGGTAATGTATGGCGCCCCTCTTTTTTATCTTCTAACGGTCCTCTTACAGGTGAAGACTCCATGATGACGGATGCAACAACAGCTACGATAGTAGCTAGGAACCTCTTCACTCCTAAGGATAGTAGGCTGCTTTCAGGACGGTCCGATGAGTTGGCCGTTCAAGAGTCCCTCGCTCTCAGTGTTCAGTGTGCAGGCTCTGTGTCCAACATGGGCCAACGCCTACTTGCTCGCTCCCGTCAGGTTGAATCGTTGATGGTAGAGGTGGAAAGTCTCAAGCAAGAGATCAAGCAGCTGAAGTATGAGAATAGAAGTTTGCACGTGCTTGCAAACAACTATTCGACGGGCATGAAGAGGAAGCTTGATGAGCTGCAAGAATCCAGTGGTCGAATTCAAAGTGACCGTCAACGGCTTGCTGCTTTCTTCCAGAGGCACATTTTTCCTGGCTCATCTAGCGTTCCACCAAGTATTGAGGCCTCGTATGGTCTCTCTTCGATGCCTCCCGCTTCGCTGCCTCCTGCTCCGATGCCTCCCGCTCCGATGCCTCCCGTTTCTATGCCTCCCGCTCCGATGCCTCGTAGTGGGGCTTCACGTAAACATCCTTTGTGAAGGCACCATCATTCTGCCATTTTTTTTTTATTATTTTATATGTTTTTTTTTTTTTTTTTTTTTTTTTTTTTTTGGAATCAAATGGCATGGACTTTATCTTTGAATGGAAGGTGATACTTGAAATGATCCGGTAATAGTTTAAATTCAAGATTGGGTGCCTGAATCATTAACAACATGTTAGTATACAAGAAAATTGAAATTCGGGGAGGCGGCTTACCTGTGTGCTCCGAAATGAACTCAAGAATAAACACCCCTTCGAAAGTTATGACTTGTCCCGTGTCATAAAATCCAACTTCTTTGGGAATTGTGGTTTCAAATATGTCCTCTTTGATGCCTTCTACATCTTCTCCAGCCACTACCTTCTCTTAAATCATTCTTGGTGTACAAAGTCCTTTGAAGAATTCAACACCCTCTAAAACTTGCTGTGTTGCACCAAGAATTGGAATAGCATTTTGCACCTTTGGGAAGGCTTCCACGATGTCCTTTTTACTCTCTTCTTGGTTGGGAATCAAAAACCTGCTAGGAAAAGGGACATTGGGTGGAATAACATCAGAATAACATGGAATTGGGACGTCCTTACTTGTGGTGGGTTGTTTAGAGGGCTTAGGGGGCTGCGGCAAGGGTTGTTCTACCCTTGCCGTGTGCATGTCTTCTTCCTCCTCCTCAATTAGCAGCTCCTCATCCACTTCTAGGCTATGTTTGGACATTTTTAGGTCAGCTCCAACCTCCATAGCACTTCCCAAAGTGATAGCATTATGGATTTCAAAATCTTCCTTCGAGTTTTCAATAGTTGAGTTGGAGAGTTCACTTTGCTCTTGAATTTGTTTCATGAACTCCATAATCTGCCCAATTTGCTCCTCCAATTTACCCAACTTCTTGTCTTGATTTTGTTCATCCTGCGTCAAAGAGGTTAGTAATTGAAAATTTTTATCATTATCCATGGACATACTTGAACTTGATTGGAATTGTTGTGGGGGAGGTTGTGGTGGCTGCATAGGTGTTGTATAGAACTCCTCATATGGTTGCCAATATGCTTCTTGTTGAGCCTCCTTGGCTTGATTTTGTGACCCCTGCGCCAAAGAATTTAATTCATTAAGAATTTGATTATAATCTATTGGCGAACTTGAATTTAATTGAGCATATTGCATATGAAGTTGTGGTGGCTGCATAGGTCTTGAATAGAACTCCTCATATGGCTGCCAATATGCTTCACATTGAACTTGTTGAGCTTCCCACCACATAGAGTTTGAATGATCCCTCCAATCTCTTTGTGGACATTGATTGTCTTGAAATCCTTGCCTATATGAAGCACCAAATGTAGGGACACTCTGCATTGTGGTCCTTTCGGCATACGGCGACAATTGAGAAGTAAGATTTGCCAATTGAGCTTGAATGCTAGCAAAATCCATATCTTACTTCTCTAGTACCTAAAATCAAAGAAAGAGAACTAAATCAAATATCAAAAGTAACAACAAACAAAGAAAACAACACTAAGTTAGAAACTAAAACGAAAACAACTAAACCAAAAAGAAAAGAACCAAGGGATTAGCAAAGTTGCTAATCCCCGGCAACGGCGCCAAAATTTGATGCGAGAATTATACGCACACAAATTAAACCCTCTTTTTGACAATTGTAGTATAAGTATAAGTACGGATCGTTCTGGACCGGGGATTAGGAGGGATTGTTAATCACTTGGATTTGACTCAAAAACGTAAAAACACAATATAAAACACTATACTAGACTCAAAGAATTCAAAAATACTTTAAAACATAAACTAAACAGATTCTAAGCATTAAAGAATAAGAAAGTAAAGGGGGGGGGTTTGATTTGACGAAAATTAACTAAAATGCACAAATTGTAATTAAAGGCAAAACGTAAATATGAATGTGATGAAAATATGGATGATGGAATAGCTAAGGGGTTCTTCTCCACACATGCTACACTTGCATACAAGATTGATTCTCAGTTGGTCTTTTGATAAATTATGAAACTCAACGCCCCGGGTTAATTAGGTCCGCTTAAATTAACCGTCAAGTTTTCCTTAAGTTAATGAATTGGATGGGTTTGCGCAACGCAATTCACAACATTCTCCAAAAGTCCTTTACGTGAAAAGCACAATAAAGATACAATCAAAGATCATTAAGCATTATGAAAACTATAAGTGTTGACGAGGCATTCGTTACTATGATGAGCATGAAACTCGTGCTAAGAATTCATTTAACGCGATTGTTTATAAGCAACCTCCACTACTTGTGAATATAAGTTCATAACGATTAAGTGAAACTCACTTATATTCTAGCGTCATATTCATGCATGAAAATTAAGCGCGCATTCTTAATAAACATTCATAAATGAGTTATCAATCAAACGGTTAAACAAATTGAATCCACAACTTATGAAATTCCAACGAAAGTTAATCAATTCATAGTGCAAGCATAAACATAGTTTCGAATCACCCCCTAGCTAAAGGGGGTTTAGTTCCTCATAACTTTGAAATCAAAGAAACACCTAAACATTCCAACAACTCAAACTTGAATTGTATGAACGTTTAGGCCCTCTTCTCTTTCGTTCCTCATACGTACAAAACAAAGAGAATTGAATTTAAACATTGAAATCAAAGAAACACCTAAACATTCCAACAACTCAAACTTGAATTGTATGAACGTTTAGGCACTCTTCTCTTCCTCTTCGTTGTGGCACAAGGTCTAAGGAGATGTTTAGGGCTTTAGGTGTATGTGGAATGGAGTGGGGAATGGTTTGAGTGGCTGCAATGGAGGAGAAGAAATGGTGCAGAAATGGAAGGGAATTGCACGGCAAAGAAGTGTTTGTGTTGTGTGTTGTGTTGTGGTGAATGGAATGAATGAATTGTGGCTGCAATGGATGCTTATTTATAGGTAAATAAGAGGGAACATGACAGCTAGGAGGTGGGTGGAAATGTGGCTGCAAGGTGAGTGAATGATTATGAATGAATGCATGTGAAAAACAGCTAGGAAAACTTGGTGGAATGCTGGAATTGCAAGGGTGGCCACGACATGGGTTGTTTTTGTGTGTTGTGGCTGATTTGCTTGTTGGTTAAAGATGCATGTGGATGAATTATACAATGGGAAAGTATGTGATTGACAACTAGGGTGAATGGTGGCTGCAATGATGAAGTGTGATGGCTGAAAATGGCAAGGGAAGTGCACGGCATGGATGGATTTTGGTGCATGTGGCTGCAATGTTGTGCAATGATGGAGGAATAAGTGCATGTGGGTGAATGTTAGGTTGAAAATGCATGTGAATTAGGTTGGAAAGTAGTGGGTTATGCACGGCAAGGTGTGGATGATTGAATGTGCATGTAGGGTTGATATGTTTGAAGATGCATGTGTTGAATTGGTGGTTGAATGATGAAAGAATAAGTGCATGTGGCTTGAATTGAATGAATGCAAAGTGAATGAATAATGAAATGGGAAAGCATGTGCAAGGTTGTAGATGATTATGGGTATGATAAGTGATAATTGTATGGTTATGATAAGTGATAAGTGAATGATTATGATAAGTGATAATAAGTGAATGATATGTGGTGATGATAAGTGTATGGTTATGATAAGTGATAAGTGAATGATTATGATAAGTGATAATAAGTGAATGATATGTGGTGATGATAGTTTGGTCTTCAATTTCGTCCATTCCTTTTGCTCCAAACATAAGCTATCCATTCCAAGTCCGATTTTGCTCCAAAATGCTCCAAAATGCATCTTTTTGCTTCCTTAGCTATATGAACCTAAAAACACACGAAAGAAGTATAAATGACTAAAATAACTAAAGAAACATAACGTAAATGTACGAGAACAAGCCATTTAAGTCGCATGAATATGCTCCTATCATGCCCAAAGGAAAAAACATCAACCCTTCAAGCCATTTGTCTAAAGGAAAAAGCTTCAACCACTCAAGTTATATACACAAATGAAAAATCTTCAATCAGATTTTCTTTTCTCAACAAACAAAGAAAGAAGGAATTGGGCTTAAGAAAAAAAAATATATGTACTTTGAAAAGCTTATATTTATATATATTTTATATCAAATTCACTTGTCTTTTCTTAGTCAGTTCCTTATATTTTTTGAGTTATTTACTTTGTTTTTGTGTTTTGTAGGATTTGTCAAGTAAAGAAAAGAAAAATAACACAAGTGGAATTTTAAGTAACAAATTCGTCAAAACTGTCTGTGCAGGTCAGCTGACTTTGGAAGCAAGTTGCGGACATCTCAGAATGAATTAGAGAATGAGCCTTATATGCTTGCAAAGCTACGGATGTCTATTTTCTGGATCATTTGGTGGATTGTTAATATCATTATTCTAGAAGAAGTTATGGACGTTTTAACACTGAAAGGTTCCTAAGAGGCTGAGCAGTTTGTAACTGACAAGAAAGCATTGAAAGCAATAAATCCAATAAATCTAGCAGCCAAAACTGATGCAATCAAGAACAAACTAGCTGACAGGAAATGGAATTAAAGATGAGGATTAAGAGGGAGTAATTGGCATAAAGGCTACCCAAGGAGTTACAATTGTTTTACCATTTCCTCTCACTTATTGTCATCACTAAATGGCTATACTTAGTGGGTGAGTTAAGGACAAGAAAATGATGCAACAAGAATTGGTTTAAAAGTAGCGTTGGGGAAGGAAGGAAAGAGGAGAGCCTTAGTCGATTTCTTTCGGTTCTATTTTCTCAAACTTCTTTTGTTTTAACTTAAGGATTGTGTTACTAAATTTTTAGTAGTTAGGGGCTGTTTTGAAGCCCCGAATATGATTGCAAGTTTGTTATGACATTTCGTTTGAATTGCTTTTTTGAATGGATGAAAATTGGTTCACTACTTGTCTTATTGATGAATTCTTTATGTGTTTTCTACGGATGCATACTTAGTAAGCATGTCTAGGATTCTAATCCTATGAATATGTGTGTGCCTGCCCTTGTCGAATGAGGACCTACATATGTTCTAGAGTAGTACTTGTTAATTGCGATTAACATGTGAATCAATTTCTAGGATAAGTAAGACAACGCTAGTACTTACGATGCCTTGTGATGACTTAAACTCTTTTCGTTCTTAATGATTTCTACTTGTTAAATCTATGAACACACCATTCTAGATTGCATGCTAGGGACTAAGTTAAGTTGAAAACACCATTCTCTCAACATACTACATAAGAAAGAGTAATAGGTTGAGTTCTAACATTAAGCCAACTTGAGCATCTTCATCCGAAAATGAAGGGAATTTGAATGAAACATAACATGTTTGCATGAATATTTGGTGGTGGATAGCAATTCCCCTAACTCATTTTTCTTAATTTGTGAACTACTTAAAAATCTGTTTCTGCTCTGTGTGTCTAGTATTTTCATCTAAAATTTGGTAGACTTTAGATAAGTATAAGTCGGTCTAATAATTATTTTTTGGTGGCTGCCCAGTAGGGACAACAGCCCAATTTTTGTGACATTTTAAGTAGTTAGATAAAACAATCTTCTGCGGGAAAGACCCTTATTTTCATATGATACAATTGACAAATATTATTGTTAATAAGGAAAATTAATAAGACATTTGTGTGCGACTTTGGGCTTAAGAAAAAACAAATATATGTACTTGGGCTACATCCAAAAAAAAGAGGAAAGAATTTTTAAAGTCTATTTTCTTCATTGGCTCGGGAAATATAAGACACCTCCTTCAGTAATCCTCATCGATAGGAGATTTGGTGGACTCCTAATATATGCTAATACACTTTAGTACGCGAAAGTTTCATGAGTACTCACCAATTTGGGTTTTGCAAGTCTCCAACCGAGAAGCTTTCCTCACTCGTGAACTTGGGGGACCAGTGTTTGTTCCGTAGTTCACCACCCTCGAAACTACTAAGCACCGGTCAACCTTATACCTTCAAGAACCCACTGAAGACTTCATGTTGAGGCACCCTTGCCGAAGCACATGAGTTTTTCTCCAATCAAGAGACCAATCACAACACGACAAGCGTCAACCTAAAAATAAAACTCCTAGAGTCCCACATCAATCGTGGATGGGAGCGGAAGACCCTCATCAACTATACAAGGAGACCGTTCTCGAACAATTAATTCCTAATGTCATTATTGTGCATAAACTCATCATTAGAACTCACTAATGATGATTATGCTTAAACTTATGTCTTGTGTAAAATCTTCACTATTAATGAGGACTCCTCCACCATCGTGGATGTAGCCCCATTTAAGGTGAACCACGTACATCTTGTGTTGCTTCCCTACCTCCATCTCTTTACATATTATCCTCACTAGGTGATGGAGCAACATTGCGATGGTTACAAACTCGACACATTACGTTGTTCCAAAGTCTCATTGATTTTGTGCATCAACGTTTGTAAATAGTTTCTTACAAGCAATTAAGCCCGCGCGATGCCGTGAATTTTAAAACTGTGTTAAACAGGCGGAATATATTAAAATCTATTAGCATCCTTATGTTCAACAAAGAATAAAAAATAGATGTTTGTAATATATAGCAAAAGTTTTAAAACTATTTAATTCTTCTAAGTAAATTTGACAAATACGTGCAATCCAACCTTCGACCAGTTCAAGCGTATACTTTTTCTTTTCTTCTATCAAATTTGTCATGTCACCCAAAGTCATATGCAAAGCCACCTAAGTGAAAACATTTGTGTTAAGTTGTGCAAAAAGTTGAGCACGCTTTAATTGAAAAAATAATCACTAATACAATTAGGGAAGAAGGGGACGAAGATAATCTTGAGGAGCTAGAAATATTTTGACTTCAACAAGAAGATATTAACAAGGTTTTACATACGTACCCAAAAGCTCCAAGGTGTGGTATCAAATCCAAAAAAAAAAAAAAAAAAGGAAAAAAAAAAGAAAACCATGCCAAACAATAGTATATAAATGTTTTAGCCCATCCAAAACCTTTTCTTATTTTTTTATTTTTTTTTTTTTGTGGCCTTGTTTATTATTGTACTTATTAACAATTACTACTATGTCGAGGCGCGTTTCTTTACAATAGGACCAAGAAAAATAATAACTTATTACAATGTGCAATTTATTCCTCAACCCAAACTAGGACCAAAACTGTTTACGGCTATAAATAAGTTATTCCTTTGTATAGAGAGGTCTTACTATAGCATTCACAGCTCTGTTAGCTTTTTATTGAATTATTGAATCTCAAAGAATACTTACATTATTGAAAGGAAATACAAATGCGGAAGGAATTGAAATACAAATACATAAAAAGGACAATTATCCACTTAAATGTTTATAATCAACAATAAATTTCTTTTAATTCCTTCAACTCTTCTTAAGCAAATTTTTGAACCAATGTGCTGAGAGTTTTGGGTGTCTTTTTAGCCCGTCATTATAATCCACGTAGTTTAAACCAAATCGGACGGTGTATCCAGAATCCCATTCAAAGTCATCCAACAATGTCCATGGAAAGTATCCCTTCACTTTCGCACCATTTCTGCACACAAATACACAAATGTTCAAATGGATTAGGTCAATATAATGATTAAATAACAATAACTTAAGAAGGCTAGGCAGTATATAGCCTTAATTAATTTGTTAATAACTACTTACTTGATCGCCGCTTGAAGGTAACATAGGTGACGGTAGTGGTAGTCAATTCTATTGGTATCATGAAGAGCCTTGTCAAGTGATAGTTCTGGATTATTCAACTCTGATACACCTACGTACATATTATTGCACAAAAAATTAAATTTAGTTTTTTCCTCTAAAAAAAAATAAATAAATAAAAACGGGTAGTTTCATTTTACACCATTATAAATATGTGAAACTTTTGCATTTAATCAAAGCTTAAAAGTATGTATGACATACCATTCTCAGTAATATAAATGAGTGGATCATTATATTTTTCCTTTGTGTAGAGCACAAGATCGTGAATTCCTTTTGGATATACATATAACCAATCTGAAGCAGTCTGCAACACCATTTCAAGATAATACGTTAATGTTGGGGTAAAAAAACTAATCCTCCAAATGCAAATAGCTCAAAATGATAAATTTGATGTATACCTGTGGACCAATAAGTACTCCATTAAGCTCAGCTGCCACAATATTTACAAACATTAGAATACAATTGGTGTAAATATTAGAATATAATTAATGTAATTAAGAAGTCAAACTAGGTCAAGAAAAACGAAGAACTTAAGCTATTGAAAGTAAGTTTCCTTTCGCACTCACTTGTAAGATCAGCTTGAGGGTCTGTTACGAAGCTTGCCTGTAGTGAATTGTTCTTCGGTGTACTAGTTGCGTATCTAGCAGTATAATAATTTATTCCAAGAAAATCAAACGATCCGATTAGCAACTTGGATTGTTCTTTTGTGAATTTTGGCAATCTTTTTCCAACAATTGATCGCATGGTGTGTGGATAGTCACCACTTGTTAACGGGTCCAAAAACCTACAAAACATGAAAATTCCAAATATTAGTCTAATTATAGCATTATATATAAAGAGTAATGCTAGCTAGGTTGCATCAATGTTACAAGTCATAAGTAAACGTGTAATTGAGTTTATATATAATTTATTAAGGCACTTGCCATCCAAACATAAAATCCAAAGATCGTAAGGCAGCATCTTTATCTTGCTTTGACTCCGAAGCAGGCTCAAACCAGTATGTCACCAATGTTATTCCTATCAAGCCTTTCTGAGATGCCTGCCCAAAAATATGAATTTTGGTTGAATAAATAGGAGTTATAGAAAAAGATACAACCTTTAGATTATCTTACTACTGAGAGTATTCCCTCTTGTATTACAACTCAATAATAATGATTATTATAGAATTCTCAATTAGGAGCCAATATGCTGACCCAAAAAAATAAAAAAAAGAAACTGTTATTGAACCTGATATCTATTCTTGTACAATTCTACAGCTGCTCCATGAGCAAGAAGAATGTGGTGTGTCACCAAGTATGGTTCAATGGCTGAATCTCCACCGGTGCAGTTTAGATTTTGCCAAGAAGAGCAGCGTCCCGGTGCTAGAGTCCCAACAGCATAACCCATGCTACTAAAAGTATATGGCTCATTTACCGTGAACCAGTGCTTGACTCGATCACCAAATTCCTTATAACAAAGTTCTGCATAGTCTTTAAAATGATCGCTGTAGATGCAAATTTATGTTACGTATATCAGTATGTATTTTATCAAATTATCAATGAGAAAATAAATTTTGTTCACTTACACAATACGAGGGCTTAAGAAACCACCATATTCATCTTCTAAAGCTTGGGGAACATCCCAATGAAAGAGTGTTACAAACGGCTTTAAACCTGCAGTACATGATCAGTAAAATCAAATTAAAAGTCTAATTGAATGATGTTCTAAAAATTCATGTAATAATTGTTTAAGGTAGGATGATTTAACCATTGCGTAGGAGTTCATTGATGAGATTGTTGTAATAATCAATTCCTTTTCTGTTAACGCCACCACTTAATGTTCCATCTAATTTGAAAAAAAATAACAAGAAAAAAAAGGGTTAACCAGTAGATAACTCGATCACATTACTTTAGTTAAAAGTATATAAAGAGAATAATTTTCTTGTAGGAAAAATAATTCTTATGCACGATATTGACATTGGTCCCAACCAAATATGGGGATGTGGAGCAACTTACTTGGTAATAATCTGGACCATGAAATAGATAATCTGTAAGCATCCAACTCCATATCCTTCATAATCCCCACATCTTCCTAAAATGACAAAAGTTTAAAATTAAATATTGAGGATCTCATTATATATTGTCCTTTTTATTTTATTTTTATAAAGGCTCCAATTTAATATGTTAACATGTGCCCTTCAAGTATAAAGGGTCAAGAGACAAAGTTATGAGGTTTTAGACCTTATAGCGATGATATTGATCTATAGCGACGTCTCCGTTGCTGCCATCAGCGATTTTTTCTGTAGTTATTCAAAAACATAATGGTGAAATCCATATCATGTGCAAAGTACTTTATATGCGTGCGCAATGATGAAGTATATACATATATTGTACATATCACATGACCACGTACTATTCGTCTCCCAACAAAGTGCATGGTTATTAGAGAGGTTGGAGTTTACTTGTCCTCGCGAAGAAAAGAATGAGGTGCTATTTATACTCCTTTTGAAATGAAGTAGCTAAAGTTTTCATATTACCAATTGATTAAATCACAGACCTGGATGTTTGTGGGTGAAGGTATCCCATATGCTTGGGCCTCTTCCATCTTCTTTTACTGCACCTTCATACTGAAATATACACACATGCATATACGTAAGAGTACTACTACACACGCAAGGAAGATGTCAACATTATAATTCATGCATGGATGCTAACTGCATGTATAAAATACACCAAAAATATGGTAAATAATCCCGAAAGAAATATATAAATGTGTGTGTGTGTGTAAAATACATATATATACAGACCTGGTAAGCTGCGGAACCTGTGCCAAATATAAACCCTGGTTCAAAACTGCTGCGATTGAGAAATTCGCAATGAACAGGTGGATCTGTATGAGTTGCTTTGCTATTTGTCAATGCAAAGCCAATGAGTAGCAGCACACCAAAGAGCAAAGATCGTGAATATTTCATTGCCATAACTTGGGAGTTTTGATATCGATCGAGATAATTAAGTTATCTCCTCCTGGAATATTGCATGGGGTTTATATAGAGAAAGGGAGGAAGGGATATGGTGTCTACGTACTAGCTCATGAGAATAGTAAAGGGTTAAAAATTGTAAACAAAATTGACTTTGAAAGCCCTAGTTTAAAGACCAAGTCATGGTCTGTCGTTTAAAAGAAAGCACGTTTCATGTACCCAAAAGTTGCGTACGTACGTAAAAGAATGGACAATCCTTGCGTTCCACCTATGAGGAATGCACATACTCTTCAAATTTTATATTGTGATCCTTCAGTTCCTTAATCTTTATTTGAAGATCATCTAAACAAAAATAATTATTTGAATTTGAGATCGTTTAGTCATTTAAATATATGAACCCAATCGATAGTGTTGATACTAAGTAAAAGATTTATAATGAACTATTCATTTTATTGACATATTTGGATAACTACACAGTCTTCAATTTGAACAGTTTTTTGCATATATGATATTCAAATTAAGATTAAAAAATCAATAACTTATACTATATATATGAAAATACATTATTTATAAAAACAAATTATTCCTTGAGTTGAAAAGTAAGATAATGTAGACAACTATACGATCAATCTCATTTTAATTTGCAATGATCAATCCTTGAGTTACCCTTGAGTTTTCCGGCAAAAGAAAATGTTAACTGCATTAGGAAACAAAGAGCCATTTATCTGCATGTTTATATGATGTATGTCCAAATGTTGAAGGCATAACTTTTGAAGTTGAATATGGAAGATTAGCAATAGAGACTTGTTCAAACAGTAGAAAATTACTTGAGCCAACAAAAAAACAGAAATTTATGACCACAATTCTTTAGGTAAGTAGTAAGCGATAAAGATGAAGAATTTAATCTTGATCTTTTTCTTCTTGTTAGAGTTTTAGTATTGAATTGGTAAACCCAGTGGTTTTTTGAAATTGTCTTTCCACTCTAATTAAGAAGGCATCGAAATAGCTAGGTTCTCAAGTTGGTTATTTTGCTCCGAAAGATTGTGAAAGGATTCCATTGGGGTGGTTTTTTCGAAGGTTTGGACACCCTTCAAAGTATAGTAGTTACACATTCTTCTTGCTGGTACAAGAATGAGAATAGTAAAGGGTTAAAATTTGTAAACAAAATTGGCTTTGAAAGTCCTAGTTTAAAGTCCAAGTCATGTTCTGTAATTTAAAACAAAGCACGTTTCATGTACCCAATAGTTGTCTACGTACGTAAAAGAATGGATAATCCTTGCGTTCCGCCTATGAGGAATGCACACATTCTACAAATTTTATATTGTGATCGTTTAGTTTCTTAATTTTTATTTGAACATCATCTAAACAAAAAGAATTATTTGAATAAAAGATTTATAACGAACTATTCATTTTATTGATACATTTGGATGACTAAACAGTCTTCAATTGGAAATAGTTTTTTGTATATATGATATTCAAATTAAGATTAAGAAATTAATAACTTATACTACAAAAATACATTATTTATAAAAAAAATTATTCCTTGAGTTGAAAAGTAAGATAATGTACACAACAGTTGGATCGATCTCATCTTAATTTGAAATGATCAATCCTTGAATACTCTTGAGTTTTCCAGCGAAAGAAAATGTTTTCTGGATTCGGAAACAAAGAGTCATTTATCTGCATGTTTATATTATGCCTGTCCAACTGTTGATGGGCAAAAGTTTTGAAGTTGAATATGGGCGATTAACTACAGAGACTTATTCAAAGAGTAGAAAATTATTTGACCCAACAAAAAAGTAGAAATTTATGACCAGAATTCTTCACGTAAGTACAGAATCGATAAGGATGAAGAATTAATTAATCTTGATCTTTTTCTGCTTGTTAGAGTTTTAATATTGAATCAGTAAACCCAATGGTTTTGTGAAATTGTATTTCCACGCTAATTAAGAAGGCATCGAAATAGCTAGGTTCTCAAATTGGCTATTTCGCTCCTAAAGATTGTGAAAGGATACCATTGGGGTGGCTTCTTCTTGGTAGTACAAGAAATTGATTAGTGTTTCAAGAGACTTGTTTTATTAGCTTACATCTATTTATTTTGATTTAATATTTTTCATTTATTTATATTTTTACAATTCAAAAACACAAAAGTTTGACCCCTCTCTAATTTTTCTAATTTTTTTCTTTATTTGAATTTTTGGGACTTATATTGAATTTTTGTGCGTCTCACAACCTGATGGAATTGGGAGGGAGGGTCATTTCATTTTTGGATATAAAACAAATAGGTTCAGGATATGACAGAATTAAGGATACCCACCAGAAAGACTAATCCAAACCATAATGATGTGCCAGAAAATAGAACATTTTTGTTACCCGACCAACCCTCAGGAGAAGCAAATGCAACATGTACACTAATCAGTATGATTAAAGAAGTAGCAATTAATGCAAAAACAGCCAATAGGGAAGCAATATTCATGTTCGTAATCCTCCAATCTACCAACAAAAGAATTATACCAATTGATCCCTTTATCAACCAAAAAATTGTACACCTTATATACTGCTTTTGGGCAACCCTCTCAACAACTAAGAGATCCATTCGAGGAACAAAGGGACTAGTTGAAGTATGGATCCTCCCAATATTGGGAGGATTCGTACTCCAATTGAGATGATAACAAATCATTTCACCTTTTTAGTTGTAACATTAGGCAGTTCTCGAAAAAAGATAGTGAAAAATATTATTCCTAGAGTTGAGACTAAAAGGAATGTATAAACCAATGCTTCCATAGATTCGATCGCGGTTTACAATTATAGCTTCCATACCTGTTTGTTTGGGATCGTCTCCCGGATAAATAAAGAACAAGAGTCAAAGAAAAGGCAGTGATTCATAGGGCTGGAAAAAAATCCCAAAAATCCCAAACCAAACCGAAAAATCCCCGATCCCAAACCAAAAAAATCCCAAACCAAAATTCCCGAAATTTTTGGTATGTCATCCCGAACCAAACCGAAATTTTCGGTATGGGATTCGGTATTGCATCTCCATTTTTTCCGTATTCCCATACCGAATCGAAATAAATATTATATATATATATATATTATTTTTTAATTATAAGAGAATTATTTCAACCGTTCATTGTTTTAGATTTAATCTGTGCCGTTCATTTGTTTTTAGGTTAGATCCCCCATTTCAATTTTCACTTCCGTTCCATACTTCCATCAAGAGCTTGAAGTTGAAATGCAGCTGCTGTGCCACTGCGACCAACCTTCCTTCACCAGAATCACCACCCAGCTTGCCTTACTTCGAATCGTCTCTGACTCTCCAGCGGCCCAGCCTTCCTTCACAAATCAACACCCAGCCACCGCCACGCCAAAGCATCAAGGACAGAACTCTCCAACCTTCCTTCACGATTCCTTCATAAATCGTCTCCAACACTTGCGAGTTGCGATCTCTCTCTCTCTCGGGCAATTTTCCCTCACAGACAGAACTCTCAATCTAGCACTGAGTCCGAGTCTCACTCTCACCCAAATTAGGTAATTAATTTATGCCGTTGGCAATTTTTTTTGTGTGTGTTAATAACTTATACATTTCTTCCATCTTCATCTGTAACTCTGTTTGTTAGCAGTCACTTATTCCATCTTCATCTTTATCTGTAACTCCATCTTTATCTGTAATTCTTTTTTGAATGCTCAGATTTTTGAACCATGGCCAGATGCCATGTTTGCCTTTCTTTCTTCTTTCGTCAAAGCCTTGAGTTTTTCCACTATAATATTCACGATCATGTATCATTGCGCTTGCATTTGCTTTCTAGATTTTGCCCTACACAATTTTTGATTACTTTGGCATCATAGTGTAAGCGACTCCTGTTGAAATCTCTATGATTTACACATAGAAAAGATGTCCCTGTTTCTAGATTGTTTGGTAGACCGATAGTTTGATTAGATGACTTGTATGCTGGAGCTATTTATGTTTACCCTAGAAAGCAAAGTACTCGTAAAAAATATATAGATGTGTGTGTGTTTTCTATATGGCACTAAGCAGGGTTCTTAGTTTATTTATTGATAAGCAACTAGTCTAACTTCAAATTTCATGTATCTATTTCCACCTGTTCAAACTTCAAATTAGTCACACGTTGCGTCAGGTAATATTTTTGTTTTGGCTTTGAGAATCTTAGATACATGGTCTTGCCTTAATGTTTGATAGCAAAGTATGAAACTATGTCAAATTGGCAGATTGGGCAGATGCCATGAAAGTATTGAATAGGCAGATTTCTTTTGATTTCTGTTATATATTTTGAGTTATTTTTCTCACAACCATATATTTTCTATGTTGAATGCTCAGATTTTTGAACCATTTATTTTATTTATTGATTGGAATTTGGATATATGCTGAACTGTGGTTGTGATATATTAATGTGCATTGTTATTTTATTTGTTAGGATGGACGGGTCTAGTAGCCAATCTAGTACACCTATGGTCTCGGTATTACGAAAACGAAAACAAACCCAACCTAGTGGTACCCTTCAACTAGGCACTCCCTCACCTCAAGATTATTTGCATAATGATTATTATGAAGATTGTTGGGATGATGATCCGGATATGGAGGAGGATATTGCATTAGAACAAATAGAAGAAGATGAGGAAGAGGGGGAAGAAGGGGAAGAGGAAGTAGAAGAAGAAGAAGAAGTAGTGAGACAATGGGAGGGTCCTCCTCGGAAAAAGGGCAATAGGAGAAAGGGTCCAAGTCTGGCGTGGAATGATACTAAAAGGGTAACGATCACCGATAATAATGGGGAGAAATCTTTCATGGCCGAATGCAAGCATTGCAAACTCTTAGTACCGGCACACCCTATAATTCATGGGACGACGGGAATTCTTAAGCATTTGAGGAAATGCCCGGGTTCTAGTCTCTTTGAGAATGTGGATCCGAAGCAACCTACATTGACACAAGCGAGGATGGGAGGTCCGGTTGTCACTCACACTTTCAATCAAAAAAGACTTGATAGGAGATGTGTGAGGTGGATTATAATAGCGGAGATGCCTTTTAGGGTGGTTGATCAAGAAGACTTTCGAGATTTTATTCGTGATTTGAATCCAAAATACAAACTTCCTAATAGGCATAAGGTGGCGGCGGCGGTTTTGGAGTTGTATGTTGAAGAGAAGGCTAAAATAAAAAGTGTGATTGAGGGGTTGAGAGTGAGTATTACAACCGACACTTGGACCTCATTTCAAATGATAAACTACATGGTCATCACAGCCCATTTTTTGGACACTAATTGGGGGTTGCATAAGAGGATCCTAAACTTTGTCCAAGTTACTTCTCATAAGGGTGATGATATCGGAAGATGTCTAGAGGTTTGCTTGAATGATTGGGGCATTGACAAGGTGTTTAGCATTACCGTTGACAATGCTAGTGCAAATGACACCGCCATTGCATACATGAAAAGAATACTCAAGTCAAATGGTACTCTTTTACTTGACGGGGCTCACTTGCACATGAGGTGCGCTTGTCACATCCTCAATTTGATAGTTAAGGATGGAATGACGGAGCTTAGTTGTGAAATTGATACCATAAGAAATGGTGTGAAGTTTATACACTCATCCCCGGCAAGGTTGGAGTCTTTTAGGGAATATTGTGTCTTGTTGAGATTTGATAGGATGTCAAGTATCCCTTTTGATGTTGTCACAAGGTGGAATGCCACATATGAGATGCTTAATAGTGCTTTCAAGTTTAAAGAAGTGTTCTCTAAGATGGCCTTTGAGTGTGACTCTTTTATTGCTTACTTTAAAGAGAAGGTCTCGAAAGAGGTTGATGGGGTGACAACAAAGACCAAGCGGGTGGGTCCTCCGGAGGTGGATGATTGGGAAAGGTCGATGAGTTTTGCTCACTTTCTTAAAAAGTTTTATGATGCCACCTTGACATTGAGTGCAACCCTTACTTCAACGTCACACTTAATACTTAGCACAGTGATTGCCTTGCAAGTGGAGATACAAGAACAAATTTTAAACGCCTCTAATGCCACTTTGCAAAGTGTGGCTACCTCAATGAAGCTCAAGTTTGACAAATATTGGGGTCACATTGAAAAGGTGAATCCTATTCTCTTTGTAGCCCAAGTACTCGACTCTAGGTACAAATTTGATATGTTGGAGACAAATCTAGAAGAGCTCGGCTATGGATGGGACAAAATAAGAGAGGAGAAAGTAAGGGTTAAAGGCTACGTAACAGAGTTGTATAATGCATACAAGGAGAGAGTGGTCCTTAGTAGTAGTTGTACTAGTAGTAGTGCTACCTCAAATGTGGAGCAAAGATCAAGTGTTGTACTAGATGATGTGGGGGGTGTGATTGTAGATATTGATGTTGCTTCAAGGATGACAAAGAAGATCCAACGAAAGAGAGCGGAGGCACAACAAAATGAGATAGCCAATGAAGTGGATATGTACTTCAATGATCCACATCAAAGCCTAACATATGAGGGTTTCAATCTTTTGGATTGGTGGAAAGGAAATTGTGCTCAATATCCAACTCCTAGTAAAGTTGCTAAGGATGTTTTGGCCCTTCCTAGTAACACCGTTGCTAGTGAGAATGCCTTTAGTCTTGGTGGGAGAGTTGTTGATCCTTTTAGAACTTCCTTAACACCTAAAACGGTTGAGGCTTTAGTGTGTACTAGTGATTGGCTTAGAGGAAAAGGATTTTGTTTCTATAAGGAGCCTACACTTGACGAATTCCATTTCTACAAGGAGCTTGAACGCTTAGAAAGAAGTAAGTAAACAATTTAATTTCCTCTTTTATTTTCTTAGTATTTATTATCTATTAGACTATAATTCAATGTAAATGATTTGTGGTTTATTGTTTTAGGCACGGCTAATTTGGGAGGTGAGGAGAATACAACACAAGAAAATGAAATGCCACCTCCGCCTCCTCAACCACTCCAAGTTGAAGTTCAACAACGTCAAAATCAATCACTACCTCCACGACCACCCATTGCAAGGGGAAGGGCTCAACCATCAACATCAAGGGGAAGAGTACAAGTACCAACAAGAATGGAGCAACCACAAGCATCAACATGATCAAGAGGACGAAGGGGCCGAAGATGCCAACAATATTTATAGACTTTAAGCTTTGCTTTTTAGCTTTTGGTTTGTAACTTAATTATTGAAACTTTGGCTCATAACTAATTTTTTTGATTTTGGGTTTGTTACTTTATTTATTTTAAAACCTTGGCTTGTAACTATTATTTTTGCTTTTGAGTTTGTTACTTTATTTATTTTAAAACATTGGCTTGTAACTATTATTTTTGCTTTTGGGTTTGGTACCTAATTTATTTTTATTGCATGCATGATGCATGTGTAGTGGGCAGATTGAAACTTTGTTATGATTGAAACTTTGTGCACAAATGGGTAGTGGGTAGAGTGAAACTTAATTTATGAAATTATATCAAATTTGTGCAGTGGGCAGTGGGCAAATTAGTAGAAATAACAAATTGGCAGTTTGGGCCTAAACGCATAATATGTCAAATTTTAGCCCAAAAACTTAACATGTCAAATTTTAGTCCAAAAGCCCAAAAGCATTTCGGGATTCCCGATTTGTCCCGAAATCTCGAAAATTGGGATTCCCGAAAATTTGGTTTGGGATTGGTATTGAATTTGGGATTCCCAAAAATTTCGGTTTGGGAATCGGGACAAGGGTTTCGGTATGGGATCCCATACCGAACCACCCCTATCTTTCAATACAATAGTTATATGACAAGTGGATCTTACCTTTATCTAGTGTACTACCACCAGAAAGTATGGAGGAATCCACGGAAGATGTTTGTTTACAATCTAAAACTGTTGGACCAAATGATGAGGAGGAGAATGAGACTATTCAATACATAAGAAAAGATGATAAGAAGGGAAAAAAAAGGAGTAGCTGACTAGGGCGAATTGAGAAGAAATAAGTCTGATAATAAAGGAAAAAAGTTTGGTCGAGATGACATGTCATATATGACAACTACAAATACATAAAAACAAATATAGATGTGTACTTGATGTCATAACTGCTAATTATATTATATACTTACCCGCTTAACTTTCTGTTTGCAGGAATCAATAACAAATTTTAATGTCTTTTCACAAGACAAATGAGGCAAACAATATGAAAATTGAGCAAGACTTTCTTTTTGTAGATTTTTCGCAAATGGAAATGTGGAGGTGCGGAGAATGCACATGATATTTTGGCATTGTGCAACACGAGGAAAAAATTGGAAGGATTTTTTTGTTTTGTTTTTGTGGAAAATTTTGTGCACTCTAGATATTTGAAGTGGAGGTTGCACCATTTTCTTTTTGAATTGTACTATCTTAAGTTAAAATAACTTGTAGTTGTCTTCATATATTATTAGAAAAATGGAGACAATACTCTTATTGATTATTAATTCATCTTCTTTATGTTATACTACAAAATGACGTACACACATAGCATAAGAATAAAACCTAACAATCTGCTTGGATGAAAATAATTTATATTACTAAAGAATTTTAAAATGATGGAAATTGAAATGACAAAATTTTATTTTCTAGAACTTGTGAATTTGCTTGTTTGATTAACTTAAAAGAACAATAGAATTGAATACAGAATTTGTTATTTTTGAACTCTCATTTATAGCAATATGAAAATAACACCTATTTACATGAAACTAAATTTAGGAACTGAAGGTACCAGAATTCTAAATTTATATGTCCTCTAAACATAAGGCTGGTTTGGGATTGCTTAATTTTTTTTTAAAAAAAAGTTGGAACCATAAATTATGTTTGGTTAGAAAAAAGTGTTTTTTTTTTTCTTCAATTGTGGATCAAAAACAATAGAAAGCAAAAGCAGGCTAGACTCTAAAAGAGCACTTTTTTTCATAGAAGCACGTAAAAATTGTCAATTAATGAAACATTTATGCTAACGATCCTATCCTTTTCTCCTATGCTTCATTCAATTTCCACCTTTCCCTATTTCTCTCGCGCTCTCTCCTCTCCCTCTCATCTGGTTCGAGCACAGACCTATCTATCCTCTTCATCTCCTCTGGTTCAAGCACTCTTCACCAACAATAGGTGAGTTTTCTTTCATTTCAATTTCTAATTTGCTTATTTTGACAATTTATTGTTGGAATATTGAAATATTGAACTGATTCAACGATAAGTCATTTTCTTCATTTTTCTGCAATTGATTTTTTTTCCAACATGATTGAAATTTGCTGATTAATTTGGTTAAATTCAATTTTTAATTAATTTATGGGACTTGAGGTGGATTAATTTCTTTGGTTAATTTGGTTAGAATCGTTTTTTCCTGTATAATTAGTTGATTAGTTGTAATTTAGTTCGGTGATTAGTTTTTGGATGATACTGGAAGATTTGATTGCTGTTAAATTAAATTTACACAGACATGGATACTCTCTTTCACGTGGTATCAGCCAAAACATGTCTGCAACATAAATTTACATTGGCATGTGGATAGTGAACTTTTCAAAAGTAGTTTTTTTATTTGGACCAAAAGATAAAAAAATAGTATGAGTCGCATGAAATGGAAGATTGCAGAATCATAGTAAGCATATGATTTTGAGCAGGCAATGAACATCTCAAAGCCTTATCTCTGGCTCATAATTACAATTATGTTATGTAAGTCTTGATGATGTTGTGGTTTTTTTTACTTTATTGCGTGACTTGTTGTGGTCTCCATTCCAGAGCTATATACATCATATAGCTTCTGATGTTGTTGTGGTCTCAATTGAACTTTGTGTCTTGTTTTGCTCTATCATTAAAATTCAAAGTTTTCGAACCCTTTTCATTAGTTTTCCTTTAATATTATATATATAAGGATGGCAAAAAAGGTGGGAACTTCAGCAAGAGCTCCACATGGTACATGCAATGATCATAATATATCCGTATTCAGTGAGTTGTGCATCAAGGATGTTGAGGTCGGATGTCGTCTTGGCCCTCACTTTAACAAAGAAAGATCGGCAAATTTGATAGAAAACTTTAGGAAAGAAACAGGAAATTGTTATAGTAAAGTGCAATTGAAAAATAAGTGAGATAGACTAAAAAAAGGATTGGTAGTTGTGCAAAAAACAAATTGGGAAAGAAACTGGCCTAGAGTGGAATCCAAGCAAGGGAACAGTGGATGCCTTTGATGAATGGTGGAATAATAAGATTCAGGTATGTGCACTTTGTATCAGTTATGATGTTATTCTAGTTATAGTAATCGTAAACTACATAATAACAACATTCTTTTTTATTTGTAGATAAATCCTGAATATGGAAGATTGCAGAAAGGCATCACTCCTGAGTTCAAGGAAAAGTTGGATACGATGCTCTCAAACAGCGTTGCTATTGGTGCAAATGCTTGGGCACCTTCATTTGGTGCACTACTACCAAATAGTAAGGAGGACTCAACAGGAAATGTTAATATACAAAATGAATCTATTGGATCATATGATGACGAGAGTGCACTACCCAATCTATGAGAAAAGGTGCTAAGAAAGGAAAAAAAAAAAAAAAAAAAGAGCTAACCAAGGTTAATTGAGAACAAGTAAGTTTGATAGGAAAGGGAAGGTTGGCGGTGCTGCAAAATTGTATGGTCAAATTGACTGCCTTATTGGTGTAGTTGAGGGTAAGAGCACTATTAGGCAATTGGTGATAGGCACTAGTATTCCTGAAGTTGTGCAGGTTGTTCAACCGTTACCGGTTGTGAGCGTACTAGCCCATTGTGGCTGTTTGCAGCTCGTTTGTTTTTTAATCAAGAGAAGAGAGAGATGTTCTCTATCATGAAAGATCCTAGTGTGCAACTTACTTGGCTGAATTATGAGTTCATCAACCAATAAGGGAGTTGTAGTTTTACAAAACATTTTGGATTTGTACACTCTTAGTCAGATTTTAGGATTATGTCTTAGAATTGGTTTGACACCTTCCTTGAATGTTATTTTGAATTATGAGTTAATTTTAAGATACTTTGTTTTCAATATTGGTACAACTGTTAATTGGCAAGGTGCTTAAATTTATTTAAGGATTATTTGTTAACTTGCAGGTGCGCTTGAATATGGACATTCTAGATAATGATGAGGAAGAGTTTGCATATTAGCATGTGCTTGTACTCGAGCTATTGAAGCATATTATCTAAAATATGTGCATAAAACTCCATGTATGAATTTTTTTCAAACAGGTAACATTTGGTTAATGAAAGTATTGCAAGCTAACTATAGTTTGAAAGGTTCAAGGAGAAAGTGATATTAGTAATGTTCTTGCATATGTTTGGACATAGTATAGAAGGAGGAAAAAAAAAAAAAAAAAGAATATCTAAGAGCAATTTCAACACTCTTCTGAGACCGTTAGTAGATATTTTGGTGTTATGTTGGATATTGTATGTTAAATGGCAATAGATATTTTCAAACCTATGGATTCGGAATTTAATACCACCCCATGGGGTATAAAGGTAAAAGACATCATCTCTCATATTTTTATAGGAGTGGCCAACCAATGGGGCATAAAGAGGTATTCAACTATAGACATTTTTCTCTTAGAAGCGTAATTGAGCGTACGTTTAGAGTATGAAAAAAAGGGGGGCAATTTTGAGGGATATGCTTGATTGTCTGTTCAATAAGCAAGTGAATATTGTCATTGCTACAATGGCTCTTCATAAATACAAAAGGAGGCATTCTGAACATGGTAGGCATTTTGATGACCTCGAAGACTATAGTGAAGAGAGCGATATTGATGATGATGAAGAGGAAGATCGAAATCACGACCAAGGACGGATGGAAGCATTAAGAAGTAGCATAATGATGAACGCATATTTTACTATTTATTTTCTCGCGAAAGCTACATTTTCTTGTGATATTTTGGACTTAGACGAAAGGAATTACCTAGTGTTGTGCTTTTATAGTTATATTAATGAGGTGGAGGAAAATATCATGTTATAATTCCTTATTTTTAATTAAACCTAATGGTCTGTTATGATTTAAGTGTCTACCTATTTGGCTTTATAATATACTTATGGCCTACATTCATTTTCTTTTGATTTATGTGCATTGAATGTCACTTGTTGGAATTGGAGAAGCCTTCAGCACGAGTTTATTTCATAGATCACAAGTCTATGCAATATTGAACCAACAAGGAAAAGAAAAAAACAAAAAAAAAAAGGCAGAGAAGAGGATTGATGGACAGAGGGAAGATACATATATTATATGAATGCTCCAGAAAAGCAGGAGGAATCGGCTGCTGGTGGAAGGTTGAAATCCAAGTCGTGGAGGAGAGAGAGAGAGAAAAGCATGTCAATCCCAATCCTTGAAGCTTGCAAAAAGAGGAAGCGAAGGCAAAAGATTTTAGGGTTTAATTCGTTCTGCGATTCGGGTAGCTCGATCAGTCGTCGTCATGGTCCATTTCGTGATAACATTCGGGTGTTTCTTCAAGAATAAAAAAAAACAAAAGAAAGCTGCATATTTCCTCTCCCATTTTTCAGGGTTAGCCTCCATACGAAACCAGAATAAGAGAGACCTTAGTGAAGTTAAATTGGACATAAATATGGTGAATCACCTACACAAAGCAATTTCAAATTCATGGGTCTTTGCCAAGAGCATAAATTTGGGATATTGGGTTGCACAATCTGTTCAATTACAGAAGAAGTCCGATCAGCCATAGTGGATATCTATTTGGAGATGAAACTTCGATTGGAATTGTTATGTCTTTACCATTAGAGGCACCGTAATCTCTTAGAGGTCAACTAAACAGACCTTAGTTGCCACTTCGCCCAACAGTGCTGAAATTCTCGCCGTACACGATCTATGAAGACAACGCAGCATGCATTGAACAACTCAAGAATATTTCTGGATGGTAGCGGCTGTGGGTGATATTTGAAGCTCCTACGATCTTTTCCCCGTCGTTGACTTCCCGACGATGATCTATGAAGACAGCGCAGCATGCATCAAATGCTCAAGAAGGGTTACATCAAAGGAGACAACACCAAGCACATTGCATTGAAGTCTTTCTTCTCACATCAACAACAAGAGCATCAGAAGATGAAAGTCACGCAAATTCGTTCACAAGACCACCTGGCTGACCTCTTCACCAATGCGACGTTTCAGAAGCTTGTTCAAGGATTGGTATGCGTAAACTTTCTGAGTTGTAACATTGTTAGTTCCCTTTGGAATTATGTCAAACTCAGGGGAGTATCCTGAAGTATACTTGCTTGATCTTAATGTACTATTTTTCCCTACGATTAGAAGCTTTTTTACCACTGGGGTTTTGCTACCTGACGAGGTTTTGACGAGGTTCTCATCTTGGGTTGGTTATATCGCTGATGACGTCATGTAGACATTTTATTTGACTTTGCATTGCTCCCAAATTTTTCTTTAACTATTTTGTCCTTACTTGGATTTTTACCATAGCCTTAGGATTTTTGTGAGACTTATTTCCTTATGCAAGTTCCTACCTTATTGAGACTACTGTGTTCCTAGAATCAGTGACAACGAGTCGACTTCCTCAACAACACATGATGCCGAATCTACATGAGTATTTACACACTCGAGGTGGAGTGTTATAAACTTCTTATTTAAGTGTGATTGTGTAAATCTTAGATTAGATTTTATTCTAGTTATTCTTCCCTATTAGGACTTGTATTCCTTGGAGGAGAATGATTTCTTTCCAACCTTATTATTATATATAAAGGCACTGTGTAGGGGGAATAACACATTTAGGAGGTCAATCAATTTGTATAGCTTCCAGAAGGCTTCAAGCAACATATAGGCTTCAACTCTTCAGTGGCTTAATTTGCACCATGTAGTACGAAGCATTATTAACGTTCTTTCAACTGTACAAGAAGGTCAAACATTGTAGCTTCAATCAATTAGTTGGGTTGCCTTGGATATGGTTTGAAGGAAACTCATTTATAGGCTTTCTAAAAACCTCAGGCATTTTCTACTCCAACATTTACAAGAACTTCGAAGTCGCGAACTTCAATAACCTATATAGCCACCATGACAACATGCAAGTATTATATCTTAACTTTACTTGCCAACAATGGTAAATTGAAACTTCGGTGGGAAATACACACTAGTGTCCAAGAAAAAAAAAATCATATTCTACCAATTCTCTAACTCATCAACAACATGAGAATGACCCAACAAAAATTGCTTCGCACACTCTTGATCATGACTATGCAAAGCAAAATCAATATATGGAGTGGTTAAAGCTTGAAAAAACTTCTACCTTTCAACCTAAGTGTCCACAAAAAAAAGCTTCAACCACTGAAGCTATGTGCTTAAGGGAAAAGGCTTCAACCAATCAAACTATGTGTCCAAAGGTGAAAAGCTTCAACCACTCAAGGTATGTATCCAAAGGAAAAGGCTTCAGCCACTCAAGCTATGCGCCCAAAGGAAAAAGCTTCAACCACTCAAACTACGTGTCCAAAGGAAAAAACTTCAGCCAAGCTATGCGCCGAGAAGAAAAAGCTTCAGCCACTGAAGCTATGTGTCTAAAGGAAAAAGTTTCAGCCACTCAAGCTATGTGCCCAAAGGAAAAAACATCAACCCTTCAAGCCATTTGCCTAAAGGAAAAAGCTTCAACCACTCAAGTTATATACACAAATGAAAAAACTTCAATTAGATTTTCTTTTCTCAACAAACAAAGAAAGAAGGAATTGGGCTTAAGAAAGCATTGAAAACAATAAATCCAATAAATCTAGCAGCCAAAACTGATGCAATCAAGAACAAACCAGCTGACAGGAAATGGAATTAAATATGAGGATTAAGAGGGAGTAATTGGCATAAAGGCTACCCAAGGAGTTACAATTGTTTTACCATTTCCTCTCACTTATTGTCATCACTAAATGGCTATGATTAGTGGGTGAGTTAAGGACAAGAAAATGATGCAACAAGAATT